TACATAATTATAGAAATTATTTATTTTTATAGAACAATTTCATCAGCTACGTGCAACTATACACTTCCATACACCACTTTATTAAACACAACACACTTTGTGTTGCTTCACTACAGCTACCACCTCTAATGACGTGGTGAATTATACTACCACGATACCAAGACAAGAACAAAGTACTTAATACGAACAATCAAAACACAGCACCAACAACGAAAGTATCACAGTAATGATAAAAGCGAGACAAGACAATCACCTATCAAAATGACTCATTACCTGAAACAAAAAAAAGAAACATAATACTATACTAATGGCATGGTTGAATCATACTACCATGACACCAAAACAAGAACAAAGTACCAAATATAAACAATCAAAACTCGGCACCAACGACGAAGGTATCCCAGAGCGAGACAAGACAACCACCTACTCAAAATGACTCTCATTATCTAAAAGGAAGAGTTAGTTAATACTGCACGAATACAACACTAAAAATATGGAAAAAAACTTAAAACTATACTAACGGCATGGTGAATCTACCACGACACCAAGAGAAGAACAAAGTACCAAATACAAAACTCAGCACCAACGACAAAGGTATCCCAGAGCAAAACAAGACAACCACCTACTCAAAACAATTTTCATTACCTAAAAGGAAGAGTCAGTTAGTACTGCACAAACGCAACACTGAAAATACGAAAAAAAATCTAAAACTATACTAATGGCATAGTGAATTTACCACAACACCAAGACAAGAACAAAGTACCAAATACAAAACTCAGTACAAATGACGAAGGTATCTCAAAGCGAGACAAGACGACCACCTACTCTCATTACCTAAAAGGAAGAGTCAGTTAGTACTGCACGAACGCAACACTAAAAATATAAAAAAAAGAAACCTAAAACTATACTAATGGTATAGTGAATCTACTACGACACCAAGACAAGAGCAAAGTAACAAATACGAACGATCAAAACTCGGCATCAACGACAAAGGTATCCCAGAGCGAGACAAGACGACCACCTACTCAAAACAACTCTCATTACCTAAAAGGAAAAGTTAGTTAATACTGCACAAACGCAATACTGAAAACACGAAAAAAAGAAAGAGTACTTAATGCGAGAACAAACACACAATCAAAACTTGGCACCAACAACGAAAGGATTCTAGTAATATGAAAGCGAGAAATCTACTCCAAACGATGCTCATTACACTAATGAAGAGTTAGTACAGCACGAACACTAAACACAAAACTGAAAACAAGAAAGAAAAAAAAACTAATGTCAAGCCTGAATGCAGCTATAATATATAGAAATAAGTTATAATATATAGAAATACTGAAATAAAAAAAAAAGCGAATAGACAATGAAAATAAATAAATAAATGTTTTATTGTTACACAACAGGTAGTGATTATCACCACTGGTTAATTTGATTATATTTGAAATATTTCGAAATATTTCAAAATATTTTGAATATTTTAAAACAGTTGTGTTATTTTTTCAGCAAAATAAATTCAATAAAAAATTAATATAATATCAGATATAAGTATGTACATAATTTAAAATCAGGTGGTTGTTGAATTTAAATTATTTGAAAAATTTTAGAAGACCTATTATCGTGGTAGTAACTAGTCTACGATATAATTGTCTTTTCACTTTTGCATCAGTTCGCTTTGCCTTAACCATTAGGTTTGTATATCGCAGATATTCCTTATATGCCTCTGCCACGCACAAAAAAGTCGTAACTATTCATAACTTTGTTAACTTATTTATGACTTTTATGTGTGTGGCAGGGGCACATAAGGAAGTGCTTGCAATATACTAATTTAATAGTCAAGGCAAAGCGAACAGATGTGAAAAAGAAAAGACAAGTATATCGTGGACTAGCTACTACCACAATACCTATCAACTCAAGATGCTTAGGTGTTAGCATCTCTTCTATAAGTTGGGTTCTTTACTTTTTCAAAGATATAGTTGTATTGAAAAACTTTCATCTCTTCAGAAAAACCACATTCTTAATTACCAACAAAGTAATTTAATTTATAACACGTATTATACATATCAAATAAAAATTGGATGCCAAAAAAATAACTTAACCAGATTGGCTGAAAAATCATTCAACTAATTTTTATAGGTGTTCCAGGAATAATAAAAACAGCTATAAATTCCAAGTTGGGAAGCATGTATGCGAATTATTTCAAAATTTTTTACTTAATGTAAAATTGCCGTAATATTACATAAAATATTGCAAAATATTGCGCAAATAACTTATGTAATATTTTGTAACAAGATATTTCGCAATATTTCACAATTTCTTATGTAATATTATGGCTATTTTACGTTTCATAAATTATTACAAAAAATTACGGTCTTATAAATTTGCTGATGTAGCAGCAATAAGGAGAACAAACCTAAATACTGGGATATTACACTACTGCAAAACCTGGATTACATAACTGATAGAACCTACCCATTTTGCTTTGTAGAAAATATCATATCACAAATTCAAGGAATAAACAAAATATTAGATAGAATAGTACCACAAAACAATAATAACTAAGAGACTTAGTAAAACTTCAAAACATGGGGCAGAATTATTGAATTATTAGCAAAAATTTTTAAAATTAAATTTTTTAGAAACTATTAAATTTATAGCAACAGTTTATTTTTATAAAAAGAAACCTCAGGAGAAACATACCTTTACACCACAGGATAATTACCTGAAATGAATAGAAAGATCTTTAGAAAACCCAGGATTTAATTATATTTGGAACCTCCAACCAACACTTAGAAATACCCTCTTAAAGGAAATTGACCCTGAACAAGAAATATTATTTCAAAGATCTACTAACGAAATACTATTTGATATAGACATAACCTTATCAAACTTAATATCTCGCTGTAACCCAACAAATAACCCAACAATAGGAAACTTATTATGATCATTACAATTTACTAAAGCCCTTGTTAGATTCAATTCACAAATACCTTTAAACCCACAAGAATGAAAAAGATACACAGAAATCTTAACAGCAACTGTGCGACAATTCAAACAGATACAAGACATGAATTTAAAATACGACATACCAGACTCATTAAAAAATATATTATACAACCTTATATTTATAGCAGAAGATTTGTTAATTGAAGAAGGAGCCAAAACAATTAAGGATGAAGAAAAAGAATTAAAATACTTTGAAAGAATTTTTTAATGGAAAATTTGAAAGAATTACCTTTCACAAAAACTGAAAAGAAACATATTAAAACAAAGGAACAATATAAGCTCAAACTTTTATTTAACTCTCTAAAACATATATATTAAAAGGATAAATTTAAATACAGAGAAAGTAAAAAAGTACAAGAATTACGAAGAAGAGTTAAGTGGCCATCGAGAGAAAGAAACTTCCAATTATCAGACTCTGAAATAACAAAATAAAAGAAAACCCATCAAAACACGGATTATCAACAAAAATAATTAAGACATACCAGGAAAAAGTATACCTACCACTACATAAAGAAGGAAAATCATATACCAGCTTACATTTCTTATTTATAATTGAATCATTGAAACTTGAAGAGGAACTCCAAAAAGAAAGATTCAAGAAAAATAAAGCATCAGTAACTCAGAATACAGCATTAGACTTTTATAAAAACAAAAATAGAAGGAAATAAAGAAACCACAATTCAAGAAATTGAATTAAAGTTAGAAGCTCTTGAAAAAATCTTTAAAATAAAATTAGAAGAAATTAAAGAAACTAATGGAACTAACTGAACAACAAAATAATTATTATATCATATTAAGATATTTAACAGAAAAATTTATTTATCTCAAGAAACAGAAATCACAGAAAATATATCTCGATTGGCAAGATAAGAAAACTCATTACAAAACTCTCTTAACATTTGAAGGACTGAAATCAGGATTTTAACACCTTCTATTGATATTAGAAAAGTACAAATTACCCAAGATAAAATACAAATTCAGAACCAAATTTAATCAAGAATTAGAAATCTCAAATGCTTACAAAAGTCTATGATACAAAAAGTGGCTAACACATAACCAAGAAATACATTTAGAAATTCAAGAAATTGAAAGAATATGAAACCTACAAGAAACCATATTATATGAAAACAAAGCAATACACCAAAAAGTACAAATTCAAACAAGATACCTAAATATACTAAGAAAATAGTGGAAACCTCAGCCCCATATATTATGTAGTGTAGATTGAAAGATACAGTACTATTACATATCGGCGGATTTGCGGAATTGATCCTCAAAGTTATCCGCAAAGTGAACCCCAAAGTTTGTATATAGCAAACAAGCGTACGTAGAAAGATAATTTAAGGGGTAAATAGATACAATTACAATGTCATTGTATCTATTTACCCCTTAAATTATCTTTATATGTACGTATATTTGTTTGCTACAAAATGGCGGATAACTTTGAGGATACAATTTAGGATCAATTCAGAACCAATTCCGCAAATCCGCCGATATGATATAACACAAACCACAACAATTAGGTAATCTTTAGAGCCAATTATTATCATTATAGGAGAAAATTGTGGCGATACGCTATTTTACGAAAATTTGTCAATATGTGATGATCACTTTAATCTATCGGTTTGTACTTTGCGATTACATCATCTATGTATTGCTATTATTCTGTCGATATCAATGATCCGTATGTCATTTATACGCTGATAGAAAGGAGCTCATATTATTTCCACAGGTTTTTATATTAAAAATAATTCTGAATATTGTCATATAATTTTAATAATAACCTGCAATAATAATGTGAATATTTTTTCCGTCAGAGTTTACAAAGTACCTGTCTGATAAAATTTGGAAATCAGTTATTACTGAAGATTTGCAGATGAATGGTAACTGATAGGTAAAGGTGCAGACGAAACTCGAAGCAATGGGATGTGTCATATTAAAATTTAGTCATAGCTTGCCGCTTTAAAATATGGCAAATCGTACCCGCCGCTATAGTTATGACATGTTGTAACTTAATTTACGTGTCGTATTATAATTTATTGGACTCAATTCTTGAAAAAATTTAATCAACGTTATGTGATACGTAATTAAATTTAATTACATAGTATATGTCGTTAATTCTGATAAACTTTGAAACCAGATATCTGGTTTTTATAGTATCTACAGCTTATTCTTAGATATTAATATTTTAAGGAGGTTTTAAAAAATAATTTTTTTGTCTTAAAGGTGTTATAGTTAAGCACCATAACTTATTTACGGCACATTGGGATCATACGATTTGCCATAATCATAACTGTAACTTGTCGGATCAGTTATAACTACTTACAGGTAATAAATGCTGAAAATTTATAAATTACATTAATTTTACAGCCTTATTATTAACAATGATATTTGTTTAGAAAAACTTTAATATATTTACCAGATCACGTAATATTACTATTAGATAATTTTTTTCGGAAATTTTACTAATAAACAACCTATATTTCATTTTAGCCTTCCTTTTTTTATTTGAATATTAATAACACGTAAATTCTCTTTATAGGTCAACAGAATCAATAAAAGACCAGTAACCAGTACTATTATTACAAAAAGAAAAAATGTTTTGTTACTTGGTAGTGGTTTTGTCTCTAGGCCTTTAGTAGATTACTTGGCAAGGCAAAAAGATTTAAATCTAATTATTGGTAAGTCACTTATTTTTTTAAAAAAAATATACATTAATAGAAATTTTAGTTAGTTTATAATAGTTAATAAACATAACATAGTTTAAATATTATTTTTTATTAATAATTCTTTTAGCAAGTAATTCAAAATCCGAGGCTACTTCATTAATAAAAAATCATAAAGAAATAGACATTGTTGATTTGGATGTTCATAATCAAGAAAATTTGAGTAAAGTAATTCAAGGATCAGATGTCGTCGTTAGGTAATTTAAGATCCATTTAATTCTTATAATATTTCCCAAAATTTAAGATGCTATGGCTTATATAATTACAATTTTAGTTTTATTCCAGCATTTTTACATAATATAGTGGCAGAGACTTGTATAAAGCACAAAAAAAACATGGTAACAGCTAGCTATATATCTCCAGCAATGAGAGAATTAGATAATAAGTAGAGTATATTAATTTTTTTAATTGTATATTTGTTTATTTATAAATCAAGCAAATGCTAAAAGGTCATTATTTATAAGGGCTAAACAAGCAGAAATTATTATTCTCAATGAAATAGGAGTTGATCCAGGAATTGATCATTTATCAGCAATGAAAATTATTGATGAAGTGAAAGCAGAGGGTGGAGAAGTATGATATAATTTTTCTGTACATAAACTACGATTAAATTATATTAAACTCCATATTTAATTTATTAAAGGTAACATCATTCATTTCATGGTGTGGTGGGCTACCTACTCCGGAATCATCTGAAGTTCCCTTGAAATATAAATTTAGTTGGTCGCCAAGAGGTGTTCTTACTGCTGCATTAAATGATGCTCTATTTTGGATGAATGGCAAAGTATATTAATAGTAACTTTATATCAAAAATAGCATAGCTTTTTATTATTTTTATAAAAATATTTATCATTTATATAATATAATTTTAACATATTATATAGAAGCATAAAATTTTGGGTGGAGAACTATTAAAATATCATTTTCCAAATGTGCCTATTGACTCAAATTTTGAATTTGAAGGTCTCGCAAACAGGGATTCCTTATCATATATAGATACATATGGTTTAGCTCCATTAGAAGCAAAAGATGCAATGCTTAGAGGTACTTTAAGATATAAAGTAAGTTGAAATTTTTATTTGTTATTTTTTTATTTTATTTTTACGTCATTAAATAAAAATAACGCTAGATTGATTTTAGGGCTTTTCAGACTTGATGTATTCTTTTTTAAAATTAGGATTACTTGAAACTGATCCAGTAAATGTTCAGCATAATTCATGGGTTAGTATAACAAAATTTATTACATTTATTTGTTGTCTTAAATATTGTTTAACGTAATAACTATTAAAATTATATAGCCAGATTTTTTTGATTACATACTTTTTGGTCCATCTCTTAAAACAAAACCAACAATGGAATCAAGAATATCTAAAATTGAAGAGAAATTAGATCTACCAGCAAAACATAGTTTTGTGATGGAAGTTGTTAATGCTTTAAAGGAGTATGTTATTGCTATTCATTTTTCTTTAATAAACATAAAACAGTAACTAATTACATAATTTTTATATATTAAGTCTTTCTTTACTACAAGATCAGCATCAAACAACTACTACTAACTTAATGCAACCGCCAAAAACTGGTTCATTGTCGCCACTCGATACATTTTGTATTTTACTTCAAGATAAGCTTAAATATAATCCCGGTGAAAAAGATTTGTTAGTTTTATATCACGAGTTTGAAATAAAATTAAAGAATGGAAATAAGGTAAATAAATGCATTTATACTTGGTTATTTTTAATTAGAAGTTTATTTTTAATTATATGTTAACTGTATTTACGTGTAATTTTCAGAAAACCAAAACATCTACGTTAATAACCGATGGAGTATTTGGATCTGATAAAAATTATACAGCAATGGCAAAAACTGTTGGATTACCAGCTGCAATAGCAACTGAAATGATTGCTAGAGGTACGTATTAAAAGTAACACTTACGATTTTATTTTATATTAGAGTAATCAGTAATATAATATTTTAAAATTTATTTTAAGGTGAAATTCGTGATAAGGGAGTATTGGCTCCAACTTTACCGCAAATTTATAATCCAGTACTTGAAAAGTTAGATTATGAAGGCATAAAAATTAAAGAATCCACTATTGAAAAAGGAATGAGAGAAAAGTTGAAATGGAATGGAAGTGGAATTTGGAAATAACTTTGAATATGCTACTGTTTATTTTTATTAACTATAAAGCTTGTACTATCAATTATCAATATACACTCGATTCGAAAAAAAATGAAATTTTTTAAGATGCAACTAACATTTTTAATTATGATGGAAATAGCATGCATATTGAGTTTTATTTAAGAACGATAAGACATTGGGTTCTTTATGTACTGTACAGTACGTAAAGTTATGATGATTCATATTTCTTATTGCTGTGATTATAGACTTGCGTTATTATTAAATACTATGTAAAACCATACGGTTTGCACAGTAAATTCATACGATCTATAGATTCATTTTTGATATGGTACTAAATCAGAATTTTTGAATAGCAGATCAATTAATAATGCGTCATAAATTTATTAAAAAATTACTAATAGCTCAAATATTGTTATAAAATCACTCTAACAAAAAATTCATTGTAAAATTTTTACTACTGTATATCATATGCCCTTCTTTAACTCTAATCCATATCCTAACAATAAGAAATTATGTATTGTATTTAAAATCTTATCTATTTAAAAGTTAAAAAAATAGCATTGTTCAAATTAAAACGGACTTTAACGATAATGTTTACAATATTTGTCTAAAATATCCCAACTATGAAGTCCACACCATTCAAATTCTAGTATCTTTTCACTATCGGATGCTATTATGCTATCTGTACGCTAATTTATATTTTTACATACGAAAACTTATATTTTTAAAATATTTTAAAAGAACCAATTTTTTCTTAAAACAAATTCAAATCTCAGAAATTTTAAAAATGATTCTAATATTCTTTCTTTATAACTTGAAAAACTTCAAATTCTTCAATAATAAATTGGTCAGCGCTCTGCCTTAAAGGTTTTTCGTAGCTAGTTTGTTCACATCCACATGGTTGCCCAATCTCAAAATGACCTTTAGGGAACAAATCACCTTTTCCAAATACTGGAGAACAATAAACATTACAATAAATTGAATCTTTAAGATCAATAACTCTACTCAATATATCACTTTTTTCATCACTCCCCAAACTAAAGACGAAACTATCTTTTAACGGAGCTGTATTTTGAGGTTCTTTATTCGAAGAAATTGATTTTTTACTCCAACTCAATGGATTATAACCACCAAGAATTTCCGATGAATTTGAAGGCTTGATAATAACTACGACTTGATTAGAAGTTAAAGTGTGCTGAAGAAACTTTTGATCACGGCTTCCTCGAACTACAAGTTTAAATTAATATGGAATATGCCATGATTTGTATAATTTATCACCATTTTCTAACAGTGTAATATCTAATCTATTAATCCAACTTGCAATTCTTGCTGCTTGATCTGGGTTAATTAAAACGGATTGAATTCGTGATGCTACAGTAGAATAAATTGGAGACGCATAAAATGCTTGTGAACCATTAACATCAGGATCATGTAATTCATCTTGTAAGAGACGTTTAAATATTGAAACTTGTTTTCTAAATTCAGCAGCCGGAATGTGATGCCACCTAACATATGGAATACAAGGACGTAAGATTTTTTCCAATGCATCAAATTCTTCATCAGTATATTTTGTTACCTCAGGGTCTAAAAGGCACTGGAAGTTGACCAATTCCCCAAATAACAAGACGTAACCAAAGATCTAACTCGGACATTCCCAGGTCATCACGTTGTAAAAGCCAATTAACAGTTTCAACTTCCAAAGACGTAAAATCATCAGATTTGAGTAATAATACAGGTTCTTGATAAAGGGCTTCTTGCATTATTTCTGATAATTGAGTACAAGTTGGATATTTTTGTCCAGCATTATAAATTAAACTTCAACGAGCACATTAAGACATAATTCATCAGCTGCACCTAAAACATTTATAATCTCAACTTCACTAAGCGTATCCACTTTGATCCTTGAAGAATATATATACCTGTTATATAATTAAAATAAATAAGTTAACATATATATATTTTAACTAAATTTTTTTTTTTGCCGGAAAATGCTTTCGTAAATTACACTATTAAAAAAACTTATTTACTCACTTTATAATGATATCAAAAGTTTCTGGAGAAATATTCGGCTTTTTAAAAATATAAACACCATCTTCTTGTTTAGCCCACCTACTGGATAAAGCTTGACGAAAGTACGGTGACCTTATTTCCAAAATATAATTGAGCTTTAAATTTTTTAATATTTGGTTCTTCTCCAGCTTTAATTATTACATTATGTTTATCATCTTCTTCAAGTAATGTTATTAAATCTTTTGTTAACTCATCAGAAAGTTTTGCAGTAAACGTTTTATTAATAATTGGTATAGATGTCAATTTGTAAAAAATTTAGCCGTTTAAGTTTATAAACAATCCGTTTTTTTTATATATATGAAAATCTACGCTCTGTACGCCTGATTAGAGTTTATATGTTAAAACCGTTTAAAATCGGTTCTATTTTTCATATGTTAAACCCGTTTAAAAATTCTATGATACAGTACAGTAGTAGCATCAAAAACGGACCCTAATCTGGTTAAATATCCGCATACGAATTAGTATAAGAAATAAACTTGCGCTAAACATGCTTACACATGATTGTTCAGTATTTCAGTATTTTTGAACCTTTTTTAAGAGGACGCCCTATAACATGTTTTATTAGGACTTTAATAAGATTGATTATGGATACATTAACTATTTACATTAATGGAAATTAGTTTTCTCGGTGAATGTATTCTTGAGAAGAATTACGAAAATCCGAGATATGCAATGTAACAAGTTTAGTTTTATTCAATCCATAATAAAGATTTTTACTCAAAGATTTCCTATTGGCATATTCTAAACAAAAATATACTTCCATTATAATTTCTTGATATTGCGTAACATTTCAAAAATGACAAATTTACATTTCTAATTTCACAATGCACCTTCATATTCTTTAATATTAAGAGCGACTAACGCATATACATCTTTACTTTTATCAAGCAAACATCGCGGCATATCCATCTTTTCTATTTCTTTGATATCTATAAATTCATCGTATGGCTGATAATTATTTTCGATTATAATTTTTTGCAAATCATTATCAACGTCAAACTTTAAACATACCAATCAATAATAGTTAAAATTAATACTGTAATATGACTACCATATTAGCGGCTTTTTCGCCCTAACTAGTAATATTATTTTCTTTGTTGGCTTGGGATTAGTTATATAATGAACATATACAATATTAAACGAATTAAAGAATTTTTTTTTTCTTTTTTACTTCAGATAAATCTCTCTACTATAATTCCATTTCGATAACATCATGCAACTTGTGATTCCAACAACTAAATAAATTCAGAGGCTTTCTTCGCATTCACCCTTGTTAACTCTAATTCCGCGGTAACAATATTAGATATTTCTGACTATGATCCACATCAGCTGCTTTCAGATAATCTTTCATAACTCAAATTGCATCATCAACATTACCCATCTCAGAAATAAATAATTCAATTGTATGCTCCAGTAGAATATCTCATATCGGCAGCTTTCATATATTACTTAAATACTTTGAGTTTGTCCATCTTAACTCCCATTTTCGTAACAAAGACCAATGTTATAAGCTTCTTCAGCATCACTCATTAAGTAAAAAGTAGGCCGAATGCTCTGTGAAAAATCCCGCGATCAATTCTGACTCAGACTCAGGGAGATCGGCTCAAGCATCGATCTACTTGTCCGGATAGATTTTACCGGGTTTCTCCTTTTATAGTTAATTTGAGTTTCCAAAGTCTTTCGGCTTTATTTCTTAAAATGTCGTTCCTAGATCAACGTATGATTAGCGTATTGTGAAT